TTTGACAGAAAATGCAATGTGAAGATGTCACCTTGGGCAATTTGTCACAATTATCTTACATTTTACAGTCTAAATGATAAATTGATCAACCAAAAAATAATCAATTGATAATACATTGCACTTATGTCGCTCCTACGCTTAGTTCATGAAATCAAGTACAAGTGTAGTTAAAAAAATAAATAAAATGTAGCGGTTAAAAGGAAAAAAAATTTCAGTAGAGTCATACATACATAATTCAACAAGCTTCTGGCTGAAACAGAATATGTGGACAGGGCACAGAGACAAGTGTTCAAATAAAATGATAACAAAGACGGGCAGTAAAGACAACACTGTATACATGTTGGTAAAGAAACCACTATTCTTAGTTTGTTTGTTATCTCGAGTTGTCACACATTTCAGATTCTTCAAAAATGATCAAATTCTAACCATAGCAACTTTGGGACAGGAAACAGTGTTTTTTGGGGTGAGAACACCCAAAAATACCTTACTGATGCTGACATATCAACAGTCATGTGACTGTGTTATATGATGTGAGAGACAAGGAGGGTTAAAAAAAAAAAGATTGCTGTTTGGAGTTTATATGCATACCTATCAGAAGCTTTCATTAAAAATATGCACCCTGTCTGTTAAGTAATGCAATTCTGCTTTTTAAAAAAACATGTTTTTTTCATACAAAGTGTACAAACATTTCTGTTATGCAAAATTAAGCAACAAGAAAAAAAGTATTTTTTCAGTCATGACACTGACAGTGAGTTTCTGAATTCTCAGCTTCGGCTCAGAGGAAACTCGGAGGTCTCCAGTGTAGCTGAGTAGAGAGGGAGGAAGATTTAGCTGAGCCTTAAATGTGATCAGTAAAAATCTTAAAATCAATTATACATCTAACTGGTAAACAGTGCACAGACGGTAAAATTGGGTTATTACGTTCTCTTCACTTGGCAGCAGTTAAATCCTGGCTGCTGTATTTTTTAGTAGGAATAAAATAGGCTGGAATGGGATGAGATTAAAGCATAGATCCTCCTCTTTGTTATTGGATAAAAATGTCTGGATGTTTCCCAACTGTAGGAATCATTACTGTACCACTCACTGCATTACTCCTTCAACAGTGAATTAATTGTCAAACACCAGTCCAAAGGTTTTGATCACTTGCTGTGTGTGTGCAAGATTATTGGGAACAATTGTTAATACTGTAAACATAATTAATTAATAGATTTTTCCCCACTTGGGAGCAGCGAAAATAAGCTGCAAACACAACACCTGACACATTGTCACCTTTTCAGTTGATAAAGCAAACTTATTAGCACACTGTTTCTTATTTAAACATTTCAGCAGTTACAGAGCAACATTAGGAGCCATGTTTTTGGCCACCCGTGGAATTTAAATCGAATATTCACTAGCTCCGTTTTTGGCCTCCAGCAACTCCTGAGAAAAATATCTGGCTCTTCAGTGGCTAAATGCTCCACTGTGCTCACCAGCTCGTCGCTAACTGTGTCTGTCTGCCATTTAGTGGTGGGAAGGCAGTGTACAGTGGGTTTTGAGTTTTTTTGCTGAAATCAGACATCTTTTGTATTAACACAGCGACAGCCACGGCACAGACATTACCTTTAGAAATGATTCAGCATTTGGAGGGAAAGAAGGACAGAGCTGGAAGAGGTTGAATTGCTTAATGATTAAAATGATTAATTACTTACTACTAAAAAAAGCAACAAATCATTGGATGGAGTTATTTGAAATTGAGGTGGAAAGATTATTTTCAGATAGTGGCAACTATTATTTGATTAAAGGGGAATTCAGGAGTTTTCAGCGGCCACTAGCGGTGCGGTTCCAAGATTGCAACCAGGCGTGTGCTCCTATGCGTGCTCGCTTGAATTCATGAGTGCGCATAACCCGAAACTCAACCGCTTTCATACAGAGATACAACAATAAACGCGGAAACACCGGCATGCCAGCTGTGACTTTTCTCCAGACATGTTCAGGTTCTGTTACTTCAATGTTCCCAGCTCAGGGGCAGATCAACGCAGGCTCCGTGCCTTTCACTCAGCGCAGCGAGCCGCATATTGGCAAAATACTCCCAGAAAAAAGAGGCAGAGTGAAAGCGGCTATAGACAGGTAGGGAGACAGCTTCACACAACATGCTGGAAACTTAAGCAAACTCACACTGCAACATTACAGTAATATTTTTATCAGCTTGAGGTTGAACTAATCCATGCTTGTTACAGGAAACGTTTGTTGTAAGGATCCTACTGAATATTATGTGAGTCATGTTAATTACAGCAACTGAGAGGTGGAGAAGCTGTGTATCAGAGTATCGGTAAAACACCAATAAATCTAAATTGAACATTATGAAGCAAACAGCGGCAGGTCTGAGCTAATTAGCATTAGCTGGCTGCCCTGCATCGCATCACTATTAGGGGCGGGAATCACCAGAGGCCCCACAATACGATATTATCACGATATTTATGTTGTGATTCGATTTTTCCAACTTCCAATTAGATCCCTAAAGTCAAACTTTGTCAACATCTGTTTATCTAAAAAGATACATTTCTCTGTTTGTTCATATCACTTTCAGTCCTCTATATGGTCCTGTTAAGTTTTCTAGTGGAATAAAAAAGATTTTATTATTCTAGTACCAAAAAGTTAAAAATCTGCAATTTATATAATAAAATCGATACAGTATCGATACAGTATTGCCATGGCAAATATCACGATACTATGCTGTATCGATTTTTTCCCCCACCCCTAATCACTATAGGCTGGCTAACAAATTTACATTTGCTTTTTACCGTTACATCCTTTCTTGCAAGCTAAATCAACACTTTGACATAATACCAGTGGTACACAGGATAGTAACATGAGTCAAGTTAAGTGTTGAAGTACTGTGGAAAGCAATACAACTTTGCACAGGACAACATTAGCAACTGCTCGGCGTTAGCCGGCTAGCTAACGTGACTCTCTCTGTGACATTGTGGCACCGACATGATCTGAATCTTGTTTGGTCTGACAGCCTTCATCACATAAACCTTTATTGTTGTTTTTATCCTTACGTGCAGAGTCTGTTGTGCTGGGAGCCTTTTGTTTTGTGGTGTTACTGTGTTTTGTTGATTGCATTTCGTTAGCTGCAGTGTTGTCGCTGTAGTCGGAGAGAGTGCACACAGGGCTACATCCCCACCCGGGGTCCTCACATTAAAAGCAGAATAGTGGCTGATGCAAGCAACAGAGAAAACAGGCGTGTGCTTCATTTCTAAGTGAGGTTAGAGCCTATTGACAATAAGGCAGTGAAAATTTTATTTATTAATAAGTGATTTCATTGAAAAACTACATATATGGTTTGTCATTTTTCAAGCAAGAAAAACACCAAACGTGATGTTCCAGCTTCTCAGATTACTGCTTTCACTTTTTGATCTCATTCTAAACTGAATATTTTTGGGTTCTGGGCTGCTGGTAAGGCAAAAAAGGTAATTTCAAAATGTCACGCTGGGAAATTGTGATTTCTATTTTCCAAACTTTTCTAGACCAAAATATCAATTGAGAAAATAATCAGCAAATTCATTTAAAGAAACTGTTTATTTATTGCAGCCCCAATATGTGAAAATCATAGGTGGAAATTATATCAAGTAGATGTGTAGAGCAACATAGAGGAAGTAACGGTGAAACAGTAGAGAAATGTGTTTAAAATTACTTAAAACTACACTAATTTTGAGCACTAAATCCCAGTCTGACAGGGAGTTCAGGTTTCCAGTGAACAGATTTAATGTTTTAGTTTATATTGGGTAGCTGGTGACAGCAGAGTATATCACTTTGAACAGAACCGCAAAGTAATGGCACTGTTACTGTCGATGTCACATAAGAGAAATAATATTTTCACATCATTTAACTCCTTTCTGACATTGCAACATTTGCCTTTTCCTGATATTTTTAATCACGTGTAGCTCTTTTCTGCCAGTTTTGTTCACTTTACATTCTCCTCTCTGGGTGCCGTCATTAAGGTATAGAGATGGATGAACTGTGAGAATTGATCTGGTTTCCAAGTGTGCAACATCCTCCAAGGCTGATGAGCACTTTCCATTAAAGAGGCTAACTGGATCTCATTTGAATGTACAGAACGAGCCACAGGGTTGCTTTCATTCAATCTTACAAAGGACAATCAAACTTAAATAGCTGAATGTGCCATTAAAGCAGGAGCAGACTGTACCGTTTTGATGTAAAATAAAATGTAAATATTACAAGATTTAAAACAATAATTTTGTGTGATCAGAAAGAAAGATGAGGTTAATGAACAGAGCATCAGCATTTAACAGTTTCAGCCTCAGTTATTCTTGTCCACTCACTCCAAACTGTCTTTATTCACAGCTCAACGCTTGACGACCGCTGACTTAATTTTATTGTTGTACCAGCTAAAACATGAATTCTTCTAGTTGGAATTGGCACCAGTGGTAAAAAACAAAACAAAACAAAAAGAGGTGGTGCATCCCTGAGCAATAAAAAAAACAAGACAAGTACAGCTGTCTCTGTGGAGCAATTGAAGCAGAGAGAAGTACACAAGAATTTAAGACAAACCTTCACAGGCTCAATCCCATTTCATCAACTGGCTCGTAAAGTGTGAGTGAGGCTAATGTACATGTACAGCTGCTGTGGATGGAGGTGTTAGTATCTTCGGCCTGGAAACTGAGAAAATAGTTGCAGACTGAGGGCAGAGTGTGGCGTCCACCTGCACAAAGCAGCTGTGCGACTAGAATAAGAATGGGAATATGAATAGGGCTAAGGGAGGAGATGGAGGTGCCAGTGGGGATGTACGATGAGGGGACTGAGGGCAGAGAGAGGCAACTATGTGATTGGCAAAGCATCACATAGGGTCACAAGGATCAGATTGTCTCACGGTTAATGAGAGCTATGTGCAGAATGTCGGTTGATAAAATAAAGCCCTGCTACTGCAATTAAGTTAATACTCTTGATTACTTGGAGCGAACAGATGGAACAAGAAGTGGAATCGTAAGTAAATTTACCTGTCCCAGGATGGGGCCTAGTGGGGGTCCTGGGGCTGCTTGTCCTGACCTCACTATGGCCCGGATTACATTGCCTGCATCCAATTTCTTCACAGCCTTTGCTGCCTTGGAGATCTTTGACATCCTGATCTGTCTGGAAAGCCTTAAATCTGCCTCCAAGTCAACTGAGAATCCATCCACTGAAAACACAGAAGACAAACAAACAAATTAGCCTTTAAAGAACACACAACTGCAACAAATAATTTACGAGCCGGGTTCATTAAAACATCATACACTCAAATCGATACAGATACCCACAGGCAAAGCCCGTGCCTTTCCATTCCGCAGCGGGCGAGTAATTAAAAAAATCTTTGCCTTCGATCGGCTCAGTGAGAGCCACTTTCCTGGAGGTGTTTGCAGTGTGGATCAGCAGAGAGACGCCTGCCATGTTGAAGAGTCTGAGAACTGGCAGGATTTAAACTTCTCTCCCCAAAAAATCATGGTGTGCATGCCAAAAGGCCTCCATCGCCTCACCTGTTTCCGATGTGTCACCACTAAACTCCCTGTGCTGCAGCACAGCTTTCTCTGCATCAGTAGAGGTCAAGTGTCAAGGGCAGCAGAGGGATACGTAACAATACTGATACATGGAGGAGGACAGGAAGTGTCATCCCTATATACAAACGTAAAGAGGGGTCGGCTTTACATTCCACCATAAAATGCATTTGCCAAATTAGGAGTCAATTAGTGGAGTGTGGAGAATGGCCTGAACTCCTGGCCTTTCTCTGGGGAGGCAGAACACATAAAAGCAGGCCTATAATCCTCTGCTGGAATAAAAGCGATACTGACACGGCTGTAAAAAAAAAAAAAAAAAGAAAAAGATCAATGCCTGAAGCCAAGGGACAAATACAAGTTTTAAGGTTGAGCCTTGCGATTCAGGGGAACCCTGCATTCAATAAAAATAAGTACTTGAGGGGGAGAGAAGAGGTCCAGCAATGATTCATTGTAGGCAACAGAGGGTATCCAATTAGATCAACAGAGGAGACAGTACCAAAAAGATATATGGGACCTCATGCTGCTTTAGAGCAACAAACAGGGAGAAAGTGTTCCCAAGAAAAGTTGTGATTCTATCTGGGCTGCTGATTATTCAGCAGCCGTTAAAGTGCAACCACCATACGCAATATCTGTAAGGGCATTAAGGTCATATGCATACTGCAGAAAGAGTGCCAAATAGAATTCATTTAGTTTGAATTCCCTCAATAGCTCTCTTTCAGAGGTCAATTTCATGCCACTCACATACTGTGTTCCTCAATTTGGAAAAATCATGTTACAGTTTAGATCAATTTTGGAGTCAGAAAATGCAGAGAGCAGTAGGCCTATGCATTAAATCTGAATGGAGAAAACCCACTTCTGTTGTCAAACAGTGACAGAAAGACTCATGAATCCTTCACTGGCAAGCTGCAGAAATATTACTAAGCAGTTTGAAGGGGACAAATGCACCACAAAACATCTCAACTAATAAAATGACATACTGTACGTCCAGAGAGACGAGGCTTAACTGGAGTTTTGTGACAGCGAGAGAAAAACAATTATGGCCGGCATCAGACATTGGCTTTTAATTCCAATTTGGGGCAAAGGGAATAACAGTTTCGAGAGTGGGGAAATGACAACGTAATGCTTTAATGCACCGCAACTCCAATCTCTGTTGGAGTATGAATAATAAAACCGCATTTCCCTCACAAAATGAAATCACTCATCACAAGGCTAAGCAGTTAACGCTGAAGAAGAATTGACCTATATAAGGCATCACAACTGCACTGACAGTACGTTTCACGCAGCTGAATATACATTAGATTCAAGGAATAAAGCAGCATTAGCTGTGCAGCGGCAGGAAACATGGTTCGCAGCAGTACAATAAGCCTCAATCAGAGCTGGGCCTAATGTTTGGCTGTGAATAATCAAATCAAAGCTGCAGTAATTTGAAAGGAACAGACAATTTTGAGCAGCTCTTTAGGCTGAATATTATATTCCATACTGCAATTACTGGCAACAGCGTCGTCGATAACAAGGAGTACACAGAAAGAGCAATTTGTTCAGGCCATGTAGAGTTGCAGCGTAAAAGCACTTTGTTAAAGCATGCTTGATAAATGGCATGCCACAAAGCCAGCATTTAAATTACCACCTAATATAGGAAGGTGAGGTGTGCTATAATTGAGTAGAAAACACCACACACGTTGGACCGTTTTCTCCAAATTGTTGTTGCACCCAACAAAGTCATTCCTATTCCTGAAATTTGAAGATAAATGCATTTCTTGTCCTTCATGAATTTGAAGTCTCTCATCAAATTATCAACTCATGTAGCTTTGGATAACAAATCGCCGATCACCATGAAAATCCAAACTCCCTTATCTGTCTAGAAAATGTGGAATTTCTTCAAGCTCCCCTGCAGCCTGTCAAGAAAACCTACTTGAGTTGGAAACACTGTATCTTTGACGGAAGTAAACATGTCAATAAAACTGAGCACACAAGAGAAAAGCAGTAGAAAAATTCCACCTGATGATAATGTGCACGGCTACATAAACTTGTTACGCCCCACCGTTTGGTGGCTACATGGGGCGAACAACACTCCAACACTGACACAAACTTAACACAGATAATCACCTTTAAAAACAACCAAATCAGTGGAATTTATTAACTTAACAAGACAATAACTTAAGAACACCAAAAACATAAGAATGTAACACAAAATGCCCAGGCTGAGAGGCAGCAAGACCAGCAGTCCCAAATCAAAAAGCCTCTCTTCTGACGCTTGCACAGGAGCTTTTAAAGACCGCCTTCCAAGGCCAGGTGGACCTCGTTCAGCAATTAGCTGGAGCACTTCCGGAGCAGAACAGAACAGAACATGGACACAGAACAGGGAAACATACAGCCGTAACAAACTGTTGTGAAAAGATACCCTGAAATTATAAACTCATTATATTTTCATCACTTATTCATTATAACAAGCCTAAAATTTCTAAAGTAACAACAGCTTCTGTGGCGTGTTTCAGCATAATTAAAACTGACTGCACTTTCAAGGATAAAGCTGACTTTGATTAAAGAGATTAATCAGCTTGCTATCAAAAATGTGGGTTTAATTGTACTAGTGAAGCCCACCGCTGTTTGTTGTTTAGGCTATTAGGTTCTCTTTAGTCTTCATTAAGGAAAAAAGCCAAACAGTAGCCAACACCAATGAATGTTCTAAATCTGTTACAAGTCAAGGTTACAGATATTGATCTTCTACAAAATGACATTTCTGAAAAATGGAAGAAATGGTCCAAAAGATCACTTTAGTTTGAAAGTCCCAGACCTTCCTCACTATAAATGATACTGACATTGTATCAGCCTAGAGGAAAGCGTGTCTTTTTTTCCCCCTCTTTATATCTTTTTACTGCAGTCAGGTGAAATAAAAGCTGAATACTAATTGATTTCTCAGTGGGATCAGGCTTTATACCTGCAACAACACAGAATCAAGTCCGGTTCAATAACCTTTATTACGCTTTATCTGCCTTTTCATCTTCATTTCTCGGCGAAATAATTAGAAATGAACAAGTGAAGAAAATTAAGTCAAATACTTTCTGATAACGCAGATTCTGTGTTGCCACATGAAATAAAGAATCAAAGATTAATATCTTATCAAAAGGAACTGATAAAGATTAATTTGAGTGTAAATTTGTTAACCTATAAAATGTGTTAACCTTTATGTGGTTCGTTTATGTTTCTCTACATCTATTCCTTATATCCATCCTAAACCATCTTTGCAGGATTGGGGGGGACTCGTGCTACACCAGACTAGATCTAGTATTGCTGACTTGTGTTTAATACTAACATAGGTACTGGATACTTCATGTGGGAAACTTGGACATAAGCTTATCACCCTACTTGTAACTATTTTGTACGTATAATTTTAAGCCACGCTAGCAGCATGGTGATGTTGGTTGGTCGGTCCACCACTTTGGTCCTGACAGAAAAATCAATAACAACTATTGGACTACTAAATATTTATGGTGCCAAGAGGATGAATCCTACTAACACTGGTGATCTTTTGAGTCTTCCCACAGCGCCACAAGCAGGTCAAAACATTCACTCATCTTGTTAAATGTCTCAACATCTACTTGATGGGTTGTCACAAAATTGTGTACAGACATTCATGTTTGGCAGACAATGAGTCTTAATGACTTCGGCAAGCCTCTATTTTTTTCCTGTAGCGCCACCATGAGGTTGACATTTGCAGTTTTGAGTGAAATGTCTTAAAGGCCACTGAACACTCCCACAATACTTTAAATTTATGACTAAATACCTGCTGACATTCCGATTAGCCTCAGTCATACTTTGTATTTAGTGTTAATTAGCAAATGTTAGCGTGCTAATATGCTAATCTATGATTGTGAACTTTATTGTATACATGCCAAACATCAGCATTTTAGCATTGTCACTGTGAGCATGTCTGTGAGCCTTTTGGTCAAAGCACCGCTGTGCTGTACAGCCTTACTGAGCTGCTAGCATGGCTGTGACGATATATACAATGAGAGGATTTGTCTACCATCAGGGAATGTGTCTTACCATTTATCCCATTATTTCTGGGTGTATTAGGGCTTCATGGGCAATGTTGCAAATAAAATCAAGCATATACAGAGATGAAGGTACTTCTGTCATTATTCAAAGGGGGACAGTAGTGAAATGACAAGAAATAATGGGAGAGAATGGGAATAACACAACAAAAGGTTTATCTCCAAAATCATTTTCCAGTCACAATATAATGGTATCCATTCTAACCACTATTCCACCACGACGCCCTGTGAAATAGGATTTTATCCATGTCATCCACCATTTTTGAACAGATGCAGCACTCCTTTGTTAGCGTCCTTTTGTTCCCCACGTGTTGCGATAACATGGCATTTACAGCCTTAATAAGGATGATTTTAGTTGATATAATACATTTACACAAGAAAGCTTCTACACTAGGTTTGAAATGTGTGTGATCTATTACTTGATACACATTTCTTGCCCCAAGGGTCTAATTTTGTGATGCTCTGATAGGAGTATATGTATTATTATTCCAGTCTCATAACTCAGTCTTAATAGTAAAACCCATTCTGTTTCCGTCTCTTTAAACAGATAAAAACTGTCAAGAGCCCTTTGCCAAACAGAAACTGTGATTAGT